GGGGGGGGGGGGGGGGGGGGGGGGGGGGGGGGGGGGGGGGGGGGGGAGGGAAGGGAGTTGGATGAGAGAGCTCCCTCTCATCCTGGAACTATGCTAGAACTAGGAAGGGAATTTTAACACTGCTACTTAGAGCTACTTTAGGCTTTAGTTTTAGCCTTAGACTCGGGCTTTTGCAGCACTAGTACTTGTGCTACTGTGAGAGGGGGGAGGACGAAAGACACTCCGGACCCCCCTATGGCTGCACTGGTCTGAAATTACGATAAGGGCCTGAACCTAGGGAAGATGACACAGATAAGACACACTATGTTTGGTACAAGCTACAACATAACGAAGAAGTAGAAGCTTTCTTTGGTGGCCTGCAGGTCAACTTACCTAAATTTGCAAAATCTCAGCCTCTCAAATTTCAGACCAAAATTATGCCAAAAAGAAATACATAAAAATGAGGAAGCATTAAGTCACCATTATCTATTTACATACAAAAAGCGACTAACTTATCATCAAGCGACATGTTTCAGGATTGAATGGATTCCAAGTGCCATTCGATAGGGCCCTCTGCAGCTCATCGGCACTGATTTTGCCGGAACGATCTGCGTCCACGCTCACAAAAATATTATGTAACGGCGGATGCTGATATGACATTTGAATAGAAATTCAACAACAGTGCTCTGAAATACCCAGAAATAATGCAAAAAAGTTTTTCAAAATTTACCAGTTAAATATGCGCGAGCACGAGTTGGAGTTTAACACTGAAACATTGCAAGAAGTGGAAAAGCAATTCAACGACAACATTACAATAAGATGTCGCATAACTAATTTCCATTGAAAAGATGCACAGAGAAAGTAGATGATTTTAGAGTTAGCTATAAAAGTGCGAGAAACATGGAAAGATCTTGATATCAGCTTTGCGACAAATATGTAAATAGCTGCATTCAACGCGCGAAAATACTCCAGAAGCATCACTACCACGGGATGCGCATCTCGGCTGTTCGGGCAATTTTGTCTTGGATAAACTTCCGTGACCTTTAAGAAAACTGAATGTGATCCTTCCCCTCCTCTCACCCCTTCCAGGAACTTCTTGATACTGTATGCAAATTTCGCACCTAGCACTGCTTTCACAGTCAGATGTGATAACTGGAACTGCAGGAAAATCAAACTACGATTTTGGTATCGACAAAAGAATAGGCTAGCTTTAGCAATCCAAGGCACATTACAGTTGAAAGAATTTATGCGAGAAAAGCAGTTCTTGCGCAGAAAGTAAAGCGACCCGTACCGGCGGCCTAATAAATCAATGTGCGGATGAATCACCAACGACGCCAATATGCTTCTCAAAAAACGCGGCTATTTTAGTCTCTGCAATCATCAAGAAACAATGGCTAAGTGTAGCTGTGCTAGAAATTACACACAACCCTAGCGGAAAGCAGTGTGCGCGGATACAAAACCGGTCCCAAGAAAAATCGCTTTCAAAACCAGTCCGGGCAACCAGTGCCGAAACACTAAGAATAACACATTTCAAGATAATTCGAGCAATCAGTATGGATATTCCATGTTAGTAATGTTACTGAGATACTCTCACATGCCTGAAGCGTCTATGCCTTTCTCTTCGACACTGCACTACACAGCTCCA